TATGTTAAGTGGTTAAATAAGTTGCAAAACAGTATGCAGAGTATGATTCTATTTTTAGAATAATAAATAGTAATATGTGACCATACACATAAAGAAGTCTGAAACAGTATACATCATTCTGTAATAATGGCTATCTCTAAGGGCTGAGTCATGTGGTCTTTTAGTTTCTATATTTTCTAAAATTATTTTTTATATATTTTTTTCTATTTTTTGGCTGCCCCGTATGGCATGTGGGATCTTAGTTCCCCAACCAGGGATCAAACCCATGCTCCCTGCAGTGGAAGCCTGGAGTCTTAACCACTGGACTGCCAGGGAACTCTGTATTTTCTATATTAATTGAAAAGTTTTCAATGATTGTATATTATTTTTATGATTTACAAAATTTTTCCTCAAATAAAGAGCCCATTGTCCCTTGACTGGGAGCCAGAATGGAAGCAGGACCTTTCGGTGAATGACTGCAATCCTATAGCTGCTCCAAAGCCTCTAGTTTTTTTTTTTTGTTGTTTGTTTGTTTTGCGGTACGCGGGCCTCTCACTGTTGTGGCCTCTCCCGTTGCGGAGCACAGCCTCCGGATGCGCAGGCTCAGCGGCCATGGCTCACGGGCCCAGCCGCTCCACGGCATGTGGGATCCTCCCGGACCGGGGCACAAACCCGCATCCCCTGCATCGGCAGGTGGACTCTCAACCACTGTGCCACCAGAGAAGCCCAAGCCTCTAGTTTTTAACACAGTGGGACCGCATTTATAAATCTGCACATCCCCATTCAGGAGCATTTTCCTCTGCTTGCCAGTCCGTCCCATCCCACCCGCCTTTCCTCTGAGGCCAGGGAAAGCAGGCCACTTGGAGGTGATTCCATGGGCTGTGTCTGACAGGTACAAAGGGAAACCTCTGCCAACGAAAGATGCCGCTCGGTATTAGCATGGCCTTGACCTTCCCATCTGCCATGATGGCCTCCTATTACCTGCTGCTGCAGACCTACGTGCTCCGCCTGGAAGCCATCATGAACGGCATCTTGCTCTTCTTCTGTGGCTCAGAGCTGCTGCTTGAGGTGCTCACCCTGGCTGCTTTCTCCAGGTACTGCTGCTGAGGGACCATTTCCTACCACCTGAGGGTTGGATTCCCATCCCAGGGGGGGATTCATTGTTTGTCTAAAGCCTGAGGGGTCTAGAAGATTTTTAAGGGCAAATAGGGTTGTCTGTGGGACTGCCTTTCCCACTTAGGGTAGACATTCTCCTTATTCTTTGGGGCCAAGAGGCTTGGAATATAGAACAGTTCCAGCCAGCTGCTCTTATTCACTGGTCTTTTAACATTTTGTTTCTTTCTTTCTTTCTGCCATCAGTGTGGACAGGATTTGAAGTACAAAAGTTTCAGCCAGCAGCCCTCACAGGCTGAGACCACACATACCTCTGGTACTTTAGCCATACCAGTGAGAAACGGTGGGTCAAGTTGTCCTGGGAAAGGTTGCAGCTTTTCCTCAGCACAGACACCTTGGGGAACAAACCAAGCATAAGCCCACTGGGCTCCATCTTCTAAACCAGGATCATCAGTTCAAGAGACTCTTGTACACTCCAGTATAGGGAGGGGCAAGGCTGTCGCCATCCTGGCCCTTCTCAGAACCAATTAATTCCCTTCTGACCTCAGTTCTCCTCTTTGATCATCGTGGCCAGAGCATCTTGTGTGGACTGTGTAGGCTTCTTGGGCTTCCAGCAGGACCTGAGCTGCACACTCCGTGTGTGTGCTGTGCCCCATGTCCTGCAGGAGCACGGGGCACCTCAGGAGGGTGTGCTCCCAGAGTGATGCAAAAGCCGCTCATCCCATTTCTCAGAGACTGAGCTCCAGAACTTTCTCTGGAGCTCATAGTGTTATTTTTCTACTCTCATCATGAAACAAAACATTATTTTATAATAAAGATGTATTTTCTGTGGTGGAGGTTGTAGTAGCCTTTTCCTCACGGCACCCGTCCCTAGAATTTCTTCCACTTTAAGAGAAGGTAGAGACTATCCCAGCTGTTTGTTCTCGGCTGCGCTTGGTGGTTCAGTGTGGACACAGAGGCAGTGATGAAGGTGTCCCACTGAGTTTCTTCCCACAGCTCCAGCCTCAATTAATCCCTAAAGGCCCTGCCAGCTTCTGTGTCTTCTTCAGATCTGTCATCCTGCCTGCTCACATTCTTTACCTCTGCCCCAAAGCCAGCATCTTGTCTCTCATTCCTCTAACAGATAATTGTCATCTTTCCAGGGTGAGGCATGAGTAATTGGAAGAAACATATTCTAAACTTACCAATATTTTTTGGTCATTTGTTTTAAAATTTCAAGTTAATATAAAAGGAACACATACTTTTATTCTTTTTTTTTTTTTTGCGGTACGCGGCCCTCTCACTGCTATGGCCTCTCCTGTTGCGGAGCACAGGCTCCGGACGCGCAGGCTCAGCAGCCATGGCCCACGGGCCCAGCCGCTCCGCGGCACGTGGGATCCTCCCGGACCGGGGCACGAACCCGCGTCCCCTGCGTCGGCAGGCGGACTCCCAACCACTGCGCCACCAGGGAAGCCCCTATTTTTATTCTTTAAGCTGGAGGCGTGTTGCCCTAAATGAGTGAATCATTCCCTTCTCCAAGTAACCGTCTTTAAAACTATTTCTCATCTTGCATGATAGCAGCCATTTTTTAAGCCCCAAGAAGCCATCACAGAAGCCACTTTAGGAAACCCTGAGCCATATGGCCCATCTGCTATCAGGTGAACCCTAGAATATCTGCTCTTACTCAAAGTAAAGAGTAATTGGCCTTTAAGAATGTCATGCTGGTTTTTAACTGCTTATTTCCTGTGATCAGGCTCATTCTCATCCTATGTAGGTCTCCACTTTCCAAAGCACTGATGCTTTTTCTTATTTCCTAACCCTCCACGTCCTTGCCTAAGAGCTGCCTTTGGGGTCCATCCAAAGACTATTAATAGGTCTGATTAAGCGTGAAACAGTAACAAAAAACCCAATAGGAACTTCCCTGACATTTCAATCACATATCCCACTAATACCTTAATTTTCTGCTGCTTCTCACACTGCTTGTTTGTCTAGCCCTGCTTTGAAGAAATCGCTGGCATCAAACTGGAGAACTCATTCTCCATGGCCTATTTCATTTAGAGTTTCATTGGTTAAGGTCCCCCTCCCAGCAACACAGAAAAATGAATGGGAGGCTCTGTTGAAAGTTTAGAGGTGGCTTATAATTCAAAGGGGCTTTAGAGATCAACTTAATCTCATCCCCAGCTTGGCAGGTTTAGAGATGAGGAAGTAACATAGCCAAGCATCATACAACTGGTTACTAATTTGTTAGAAACTTTGTCTTATGTGTCTCAATTTGGACCAAGTAAATTCCATTCCTGAACAGGTACCATGTGAGTATAAGAATGAATGATTGAAAATGGGGCTTAGAACAGGAAGTCTTCACATTTTCTTCATGGGTATCTGGAAGCTTAGCGTGTTGTGTTTCCTAGGCGTGACTCCATAGATGCTCATTCTTCTTATTTTTATTATTTTTTTGGCCGCGCCGTGCAGCTTGCAGGATCTTTGTTCCCTGACCAGGGATTGAACCCATGCCCCCTGCAGTGGAAGTGCGGAGTCTTAACCACTGGACCGCCAGGGAAGTCCCATAAATGCTCATTCTTCTTGATGCTTGTTGGGGCCAGCTGTGTGGATGCAGTTAGTCACACCAGAGTAGAACATCATACAACAGTGGAGGATGGGAATCAGCACAGCTAGTCTTTCAGGGTTAACGTGTCAGAGGCTGTACTCACTGTAGTGTCAAGGGAAGCCACTATACCCCATACACACCTGAAGGACTAACATTCTGGGACAGTGAGAGGACTGAGCCAAGGAGCAGGCCCTGGTCACAAGAGCTGGCAGAGGCCTGCTAGGATAGCCACACTCATGCCTAGAACTGTCAGGTGACTCAGTGGTGGTCTCTAGGGGCTGAGGTCTGGCTCATTTCAGGAACACAGAGGTGACCCAGAGGTCATGCCCTTCTTATACGCCGTGGTAACCCCTAGGAGAAACTGAGGAAGTACTTGCTTCTCTAAACCAGCAGCCCTCCTGCTTTAGTTTATGTAAGTCATCTGGAGCATAACGGCTTCAGAGATTGATGCAGCCAGGAAGGCATTTTAGCAAGCATGGCGCATAACTGAAATGCAGGCAACCGTGGAACTCAACTTGAGAACACTGGTTTAAGTTCTGAGAGGCATCACAACTATTTTTTTTCCTTCAAGTTTTATAACATCATAGACCCTCAGGGAATTTCCCTTCTACTAAGGGTTTCTTGCTTTTATACTGCTCTTGCCTTTACTGGTCTCAGCAACACATTGTATGTCATCTGGTTGCTGGTTCATCTTTTTATTATGCTCTCTTGTTCACCTGACTTTTTAAAAAGCCTGCTTTCAGGAATCCCAAGGATCACCCTGCAGCACTTTGCGAAGCTTTCTAATCTGTACTTCCCTTATATTTAGATAGCACCGCAGTCTACATAACACGTTCACATTTGTTATGATTCTTCAGACCTCCCAATGTGGAAGGCAGAACAGCTATCATTTTCATCTTACAAACGAAAGAGACGGAGGTTGTGCTGCTCGTCCGTGGTTAGATAGATTTAGATGTGAAGGAGGCACTAGCCAGCATTATCTTCTAACACCTAGCAGAGGACTCTTTCCTTTATGAACTTGATGACATGGGAACTGAACTGTACAAGGTAGGACATTTATTCTGAGAATAAATCTTAGGAACCTTGAAGGATAAAAGATGACTTGGAATTAACTAGGCTGTTTAGATGGCTAAGGAAAAAAGCTAAACCTCAAGGGGCACCTCCAAAGGTTCACACGAGGTCTCCTAGGAGTAGTACCACACGCACTACACACGCCCACCGTGCAATTCCAGCTGAGAACTCAGGGATTCACACCCCTCCCAAAGCCTCTACATCAGCCCGCACCCATGTCCCAGACACCTCAACAAATCTATTCAATGCAGAATCCGTGAAACAGCTCACACCCCATTTATTATTTAAAAATATTTTGTTACAAAAGGAAAAAAAATACAATGCAGTATAAAAGATTGACAGTGTCATCAAGTTTATTACACAATTTTCAACCTATCAGAAAGACAAATCACCAACAACAGGGGGACGGGGCCTTGGCCTTTTTGAGGGTTGGGTTTTTTTCCTTTTGCTATCAGGAAATAAAACTAAAAATTGTGTCACCGAGTAAAAACAAAACAAAAATGGGGAGAAAAAAATTCTCCGGGTAAACGGCTTTTCTGGTATTCTATATATTTTTTTCTCCTTAAACTGTCACCTTACTTGGTTTTCTCTACATTAAAAAGACACCCGGAGCTGCTCTTGAGGATAAGCACATCACTTAACGCTTGGCCGGCTGGGCGGGGTGCCATATTCTGAAGTGGAGGTGGGGATGGGGTTGGGGGACAGGGGGAAAAAAGCTACAAACCTGTAGCCTCTGTCCCAAGGGAATGTGCCTCTCCAACCCTGGGGGACTCCCTCAGTGACTGAGCGAGGGCTACGTCAGAAACGTGCAGGGAACAGAGGAAGGCTTCGGTCCAGCTCAGTCTCTCCCCTCTGAGCCAGAAGGGTCTCCAGCGACCTGACATCCCACGTGCCACGTTTCCTGTTCGATGTTGCATGCCCTACAGACGCATGCGGAAGTCGCATCTGTCGCCCCGTGGGTACCGCAGGACCCTGTTGCTGCTGCTGCTTTCAGCAGCCGCCGCCTCATAATTTGGATGTTATGGGAAAAGCAATTCCATTTGCCTGTGTAGAATATGGCCCCCAGAGTGGTGGTCCTTAGAATTCTGAGCTGCGCTCATTAAACTCAGGCTCCACTTCTTCCTTGCTCCTTATCAGAGGCAGCAAGTACCTCCAGGCAGAGCGAGGGGAGCTATTAAGTCAAAATTCAAAAGGTGAAAAAATACCAAATGTGTGACTTTACCTACTAGTGCCGGGTTATCCCACAATAAGTAAAAGTATGTACCTGGAGGATGCAAGCCCATGCTCACATCAAACCTGAAAAAAGAAAAGCCTATGGAAGTAGGCCATATCCTGCCCAACTTGCCTCCTTCCCCACTCCTAGTATTTCACAAGGGTTCTTCACTGCTGAGGTCCGACGTCCCCGACTCCCAATGGCAGTACCTTCCTCTAAAACAAGGAAGCAGCCTTCTTGGGGGAAGGGCTCCACATGTGAAATGGAAAAGCCCCAGGGAAAGGGAACATCTAGTGGAGCTGGTTATTGCAAGAGGCAACTGAGCAAGAAACAGTAGAGGGTGGTAACTGGCGCTGCCAGGCTCCCCAGCAGAAAGCAACCTCATGGGCCTTCTCTGCTTAGGAGGGGCAAGTCCACTGAGCAGGCTGGGCAGCAGGGAGTTAAAAGGGTTTTAGCCCCCTGGGAGGTCAGGGAAACAAACCGTCAATAAGTAAGAGGGAAAAGCAAGAACAGGAGAAGCTTTCCATAAAGTAATTTCTGTTCTCATGGTCCCTCCTCAAAGGGCTGGGCAGGTAAAGGAGTGAAAGAAGTGGGATGTTAGCAAGGGGTCTGGACCCTCTTCGCCCCATCAAACCTAGTGCTGAGGGCGGGACCCTGGGCATATTTTGGCACACCCAGCCACTCTCCTAGATCCCACAGGGAGGATCCGTTTCCTTTGGGAAGGATGTCTTCCCATCAACCTCACCACTGAACTGCTCCTGGAGAATCAGAAACTCATACGTTTCCTTGGACAAAGCACCGTTCTCTGTGGAGACCAGGGACCTGGACATGGTTTCTTCCTGTCTGCCACCCTCCCAACCACATGAAGTCTTTAGGTTCTTTACCCTGGCAGACAGGAGTGGGACCGGGAGGGCTGCCAGGCAATCTTCAATCTTGTAGGGCAGAGGGTATTCCCTGTGGGTGTCTGAAAGGGGTTAGGGGCTTGGAGAAAGGGGAAGGGGTGGAGCGGCCTCCGTCCTTTAGTCCTGATCAAGGTGAGGAGATGCAAGTCCATTAAAAAAACATTTGCTTCCAACCAGACTCCTGCAATGAGAACATCAGAAGAGAAGAAAGAGAATACAGGTTAGAGGTTACTTTCTGATTAACAGGGGCGCATATAAATTATACTGGCATTTTCAAAAGTTAAAACGTATGAAGTAGGGGATGGAGACAGAACGCAAGCCTGGGAAAGTAAAAGACGGCAGAACTGTCTGGGAGTGTGTGGCACTGTGAGTAGTGAGGGAGTGGCTGGAGGAGGACAGAGGAAAGAGGAGCGACATTTTACTTTAAGGTTAGGGGGAAACAGAGACAATGAAATGAGGCATCAAAGCAGTTTCACTGAAAAGGAGAGACTTTGGCTGGAAACTACTACATTTCAAGAAAAGTTGCTCTAAGGGAGCATGGTGAGTTTAAATACTGTTTCAGAAAATCTATTCTGAGCAAGTCATAGCTTACCTTAAGGGGAAGGGGAAAAATCTGGAAATGGGAAGTACAATGGTAAGAAAACAAGTGTGTACATAACCAAATCCATTAACCCCCAAATACCCAAGAGGCCCGTGCAGGGAGCATGTACTTACACAAGAAAACTAAACTTTTTTCCTTCTTTTAAAGAAGCATACACATACACATAGAGCCAGAGATGTTCCAAGTACCACCACTCAAGAGATTCTAAGTCCTCCCCAGATGACAGGTGTGGGTGAGGGGCCAAGAAGCATACTAACACCAAGCAGGAGTGATGCGGTCAGGCCAGAGCAGAAAGCAGAGCACGGAGGTCAAAGAAGATCATCAGCAGTCACCATCCAAGAAAACTAAAAGCACAGTTAAGAACTTCTGCTGAGCAGTGAAGGACTGTTAAGCCACTTGTCACATCTCGACCTAACTTAAGGTCCCCAGTACACTCAGCCCTCTTTCCAACGTTGTAACATCAATCTGCAGGGGGTGGCCTGGTCAATCTTACCACACAAAATAGAACTGATAGCGAAAAGGAAAAGGGGGAATTAAATTCAGGCTTAGGATTTCTACTAACGCCCAAACTGGCAACATGGCCTATACATAAATGCTCACCTTTAATGTATGCACTTCTGTAACCTGGAGGAGCTATGCAAGAAAAACTGCATCCAGAAGCTGCCTGATCCTTCTACACTCTGAAGTGGCACCATTGCACCCTGGGGTCCTCAGAATCTGTCATGGCCTCTGGTTTCTCTAAACATCTCTGCAGGCAGGTATCTTTCTCATTTTCTATAAGAGGAAACTAAAGCCCTCAGTGACTCCTCAATTTCATACCATTTGGGTTTCCGAATCTTGACATTAGATCAAAATTGAACAGAATGCTCAGTTTTCACTGGACCAGGAGGATAGCAAGGAGGTGACAATTACTATATTTCAAGCAGGATAATGTCCTAAAATGAGACAACAGCCAACAACTACAAAAAGTTGAAGCCACAGACAACCAAAGAATATCCTCAAACTCCAAAGCGTACACACATATACCACAAGAGATGTAATTTGGGAACTGTTGCTACAAAACAAGACTCAGAGGATAACTAATGCATCAGAAGTAAACTACAGTTGACCCTTGAAAAATACAGGTTTGAACTGCGCTGATTCACTTATATGCGGATTTTTTTCAATAAATACATACTACAGTACAACAGAATCTGAGGTTGGTTGAATCTGTGGATGGAGAACTGCAGAAATGGAGGGCTGACTATAAAGTTATACTCGAATTTTTGACTACGCAGAGGTCAGCTCCCCTAACCCCTACACTGCTCAAGGGTCAACTGAGCAGCACCCAATTCTTAGAGGTTATGGCTCCATTTTGGTGGTAATGTTTGAATGTAGACAGAGGACAAAGTGGGTCAGACTTCAGGTCCCAGAGGTCGTGCCCATCCTGAGGAAGGATGGACAAAAAAGGCTGCTGTTTTTTGCTGCCCTTAGATGGAACATACCCTTTGCTCTCAGGGAACAGCTCTCCGTATAGTATAAATACTAGTATTTTCTAGCTAAAAGGTATTGTACTCAGAGCTTGCAAAGTTATCAAGGTAAATGAGGCCCAGGCACCATCTCCTCAACATGACATCTCCTAAGTCACAACTTGGTACCTGCAGATGAAGTTAAGAATCCCAGGATGAGAATGTGAGAAATGGACATTTTTGGGGGGTCAAATTCAGTTCTTTTGGACTAAATAACCAGAAGGAATAACCAACGTACCTAAAGGGGTGACTAGGAAAAGTGGGGAACTGGAAAACCTGCCTCAAGAGTTAATTTTCCTCATTTGTCATAGGCCTGCACCAGCCAAATGACTGTTTTCTGGGAACTACTGGGTTATAGGATTTTTCAGAGTTTTTCAAATTGAATCATCCTCATAATGGAAGAAAAGTCCCACTTTACAGGTGGAAAAAAAATGAAGCAAGATGACAGCTGAAGTCTCAGGTTCAGGTGTTCAATCCCCAAAGTTCTAATGATCAGAGGATCTCACAATTTTTCTATCAAAAGGCTGTCAGGAGCAAAGCCGCCAAGAACAGTGACATGCAGTTACACGTTCCGACTACTAACCTATGTGGCCCCAGAGACTATAATTCATGCTTTGCACAGACCAAGTACTACCTCCTTCGTCACCCTTATCCTAGTCAGCTCCAAAGGACACACACGGTGGGCTGCAGGATTGGGGAGGGTGGTGGCTGATACTGAACCTACAAGCAACACTAGCAACTGTGCTAGCTCAAACAAGGGAAATGCTGCTACCGCTGCAGGAGGGATGAGACCGATCACAGACCCACTCCACCCACCCTCCCGCCCACTGCCTGAGACTCAGTTAGGCCAAAGCTGTTTAAAACTCCGCTTAAGTTCATGGCAGATGACAAACAACAAAGTAGAGGGCAGTAGCCAAACATAACAAGACTCCTTTCTTATTTGTTTAGTAGGTTGTCACTAGGCAGCAGTTTACAGTCTAGCTACCGCTTGTGAACTACAGGCACTCGCAAGAAGGGGGCAGGGTTTCTTTTCCTTTCTGCATCCAGTCATCCATCTCTCCACCCCAAAGATGCCAAGCAGAACTATTCCTACTCACCTTCCACAATTACCATTACTTCAGACCAACCAAATCAGCCAAACACCAAGGACATTATCCTAATGTACTTGATGTGAAGCCACAAAATTGAGAAGAGACCCCAAAGTCACCTGGGTCATGCAATAGCCTTCAGGAACCACAAACGTACCATCCCCGCCAGAGTCTCGACTACTTTTACGGATCTCCAAAGAAACAGAGTCAACAACTGCTCTTGCTTGCTTATATACTAGAAACAATCTTTGTTGGAAGCTTGTTTTCAGTTGGGATTGCCAAGCTGGTGGGATGTAACCTGGAGCCTGAGAATGAAAATAACATAGCTGAAGCCCCTGAACCAGCCAAGCCTAACTCAACTTTTCAGTTACTTGAGTTAACGTAGTTCCCCACCCCTAACTCTCCTGCCTTTCTTTTGCTTTATTAAAAAAAAAAAAAAAAAAAAATCACTGTTATTAAGTTTTTCCAAAACAAATATATCCTGCCATTGAAATATCTTCCACAGTCTCTAAAGCTTTAAAGATAATTTTTTTCAGATCAGCTTTCTCCTCTCTGACTAAAGTATCCTGATTTTCAAAATCTTTTTAATAGATATTAATTCTTAAAAATCATTAATGTTGCACCTTGAAAACTTACAAGTAGGCAATGGTCTTACTTTTTTCTGTCTTGGTCAATTTTCCTGATTTTTTCATTTGAAAGTTTGGTGGGGTTAAAGTATAACAATGAGGGACTTCCCTGGCGGTCCAGTGGTTAAGACTCAGTGCTCCCAATGCACGGGGCACGGGTTCGATCCTTGGTCAGGGAACTAAGATCCCGCAGGCCACACGGCGCAACCAAAAAGAAAATAAATAAATAATAAATAAATAAAACATAACAATGTTAATAACAATAGCTATCATTTATTGAGAATTTACTATGTGACAGGTACTATGAGTGCTAAATGCTCTATATGGATTAGCTCACTGAATACTCAGCAATCCAATGAGACAGTTGCTTTTATTATCTCCATTTACAAATGAGGAAACTGAGGAACAGAAAGTAATATGGCCGGAGGAGCTGGAATTCATAACCTGGCATCTACCTGCAGACACTGTGTTCTTAGCCATTATGCCATGCTGTCTCAGATACCAGGTGAAAGCAGTCAATAAACAAGCAAAAATAGCTTAATCTCAGGTCCATTTCAGGGTGAGACTCCTCACAAACAAGCAGAAAACCTGCCCACCTGAATTTCTGGTTACCTACATAGGAAGTCTTCCCATACCCTTTTCTTGTTTTAAAAGGAGAGAGAGAAATCTTTACTATCAATAATTTTTCTTTCATAAGAGATCATCAACCAGCCAGCAATGGGGCTTCATCCCACCTTTCTCAGTGGTGCCGGTCCCGTTCTCTATCCCGGTGTCTCTCGTGCTCTCGGTTCCTCTCTTGGAAATAATCATCATGCCGATCTTCATTATGAAGCAGGTCCCGGTGCCTCCTGCTGCTTTCCCGGGACCGGCTTGGTGACCTCTCTCGGGACCGATGTCTTTTCCTATTAGAGGGATACTTTTCAGCCTCACTCAGAGGGCTTACCCCATTCTTTCTAAGAGTATATTGCGTTTTGGTGTCTTCTACTATTTGTCTAAACCACTCTTCTGTTACTCTATCATGGCCCCTAGTCTTTTTTGGAAAATTAATAACAATTAAACTTGTTGAGATCTTACTAACGTATCAGGCACAGTGCTAAGAGCTTTACATGCATTATCTCACCCAATCTTTACAACAGGTCTGTAAGATAAGTACTACCATTGTCCCCTTTTTAAAAATAAGAAAAATGAGGCTTGGAAAGTTGAGTAACTTCCATATTCAAGGTCATGCAGGTAGTTAGGAGCAGGACTGGGATTCAAATTCAAGAATGTGTGGCTCCAAAGCCCGTGTTCTGAACTACGTCAGTCTTTCTTCCTAAATAAGCCCACTGCCTCACCAAACACAGATTTCAGACATTACAACATTTATTAATTTAAACGTTTGATTAATTTTTTCCCCTTAAAGACATGAGGGCTAGGTCTGCTCTTTCAACTAGGTCCTTGCCAGATACCCTGGGCTCCTTTCCTCCCCCTGCCAGTCCCTGGAAGAGTGCTGCTCAGGGCTGGCAGGCTGCTGAAGCAATTATCAACTCACCTGGATGAGCTCCCGCTGGCACCCACACTGTAAGACTTGGCTTCAATGCCATGAAGACAGTCCTTAAGGGAGGAGATGAGGACACGGCAACGCTCATCATTGGCGACCCGGGACTGTTTGATAACAGCAATGGCTGTGAGCAGCGTCTCAATCGCGTCGCTGTAATCCCCTGACAGGGGATGGATGGGAAAGGCCAAGGATGAGCAGAGGCAGTAAACTAACTGATGAAAAGGAGAACTCAGGAGGACACAAACCAAGGGTAAATAGCTGTCCCACAGAACCACGGTAAAATGGATGAGGCAGAAGTGGCAGGTATAAAACTGTATGGCACCTATATTCTAGTGGTCTGGAATCAGACAGATGCTCTCAGACACTGCTAGTGGATGTATAATCCGGCACGTCATTGTCTGCGGGCTATCAGACAGCATCCACTAAAATAAAAAATGTGCATACTTTTTGACCCAGCGCATCTAAAAATTTTCTACTTCTGTTCACAAGTATATAATTTAAACACTGTTTGTTTCAGCGTTGTTTGTTGTATGAAAGAATCAAAAACAACTTAAAGTTCCTTCAGTAGGGTCTGGCTATATAAATTATGGAACATTGGTTCTACAGAATACTACATAGTCGTTAAAAAGCGTGAGGTAAATCTGTATGTAAACAAAGCAATCCATGTAAAGCACTTAGCACAGTGCCAGGCACACAGTAAGGGCTCAATAAACGTTAGGTATTAGTTGATGTAACAGATGTCCAGAATGTATTTTTAAATAGCTGTGAAACAATATTCCATTTTTGTAAAAACAATCAAAATTACATATATATTTTGCTACATGCACAGAAAAAAAATCTGAAGGATAGACACTTAATTGTACAAGGTGGTCTTATTGATGGTCCTCGTACGGAAGCCTTTCATTTATTAACACTGCATATTTCTGTCTGAATTATTTTAAATCTACAACCAAATACATATATATATATATATATACACACACACACACACACACACACACAAGTAACAGATCTAAGACATGTATGTTGTGTGCGTGCATATATATATTATATATATATATGCACACACATTATTTTTAATTATGCTGCCATCAAGAACTAGCTCCTTCATTCCTCACATCTGAGCAATGTCTGGACTCAAGGAGAGTGGTCAGGGTGGGTACTTGCACAATGCTTTTGCAAACTAAAGCTTTCTTAGCATTAAGAACAAGATAATACAAGGAAAGCATGAAACCAGGCAGGGGTCCAGTGACAGTGGACTAGCAGCTCCCCCTGTGCGAGGCAGTGAAGAACAGAACAGAGACTGTGAAGGACCTGCAATTCTGTGGAGATCTAAGAACACCAGGATTTTGGCTCTACCAGAGTAGGGAATTTTTGCCTGTTTTGTAGGCATTCAATAAATATTTGTGGTTTAAATGACTGGAATGAGAACAAAATAAAGGGAGGAGACAGAGGTTCAGTTATTGATCATCTCAGTGTGAAGGAACTGGTGAAGAACGATGATTGTTTTTCTTTATACTCTGTATATCTGACTTGCTACAATGAGCATAGATTATTTTTTAATTTAAAGAGATTTACTCAGATGTCATGAAGGTTTCTGGTGGAAAAAAAGAGAGAGAAAATATACATACTTTCTGTCTTTAGTCCACTCTGCCTTCAAATTTTGTAGTCAAAGATGAGAAATTATGGAAAACGGATGATAATAAAGTTAACTTATTTCTTAGGAGATCTGACAATCTATATTTACATTCATGTAGGAAACTCACAGGAAGAAAGTGAATATGATTAGTGCTATAATGTGAAACTTGGACCAGAACCCGGAAACTTCCTATATTCTCTTCCCTTAGGAACCAAAGGTTCTGTTCCCCTGGCTCTCAAAGGCATGGCTTCTGGTTCTGCCCACTTAATACTGACAGCAAGGCAAAAGTTAGTTGTAAGGGCATATTATGCCTTAAGATTGACACCCAACAGACTTGTCTCTTTCTAGGATAGGTTACATGGAGGCCACCAGCTCTGCCTCGACCCCCAAATGTAATCAGATTCCATATCCATCATCATCATCAGTTCTAAAAACCCAAGGTCTACACTTGGCATTGGACTCATTACATGGACACAAGATCCACTGATCAACCACTGAGATCAAGATCTCCGTGAGGCAGGAAATTCATTCTATAACAAACAACACAATGAATATTAGTTATTTATATTCTAGGCACTAAGTTGGTTTTCATGGGGCAGGTCTAGACACAGGCTAAACAAACAGCACCAGTGGAGCTCCCCAAAAGCCAGGAAACCAGGTTACCATATTGCTTTTCAAAATGTGCCACTCTTGCGAATCTACTAGTGCTCCAACTTTATCTTGTTGAATTTCTTGCCAATGGAAATGACAAAACAATGGAAAAACTAAAGGTAAGGAGAAGGCAGCAACAGTAAGGATGAGTTACCTGCACTGGCTCCAGATACAGCTTTGGAAATGGCACTGCTGGAAATTGCTCTGTTCCGCTTCATGATCTCTTCAAATTCTGCTTCACTCACTGTAGAGGGCGGAGGGCCCGAATCTCGGCTGCACACAGAAATAATACCACTCCTGACTGCCCACACCCCTTGTTAACTTTACCATACTCTAGAGTACTATGCTATTTAACCGTGCTCTCCTGTATAATGCCTTAAATGGTTCTCAGCCTGTTCACATGTTTTATATGTTCATGTTCTCTTCAGAGACAGGATTTATGTCATATACTTTTGTAATTCTGGCATGATCCAACAGTGCTAGACACTCATAGCATTCCTAACAGTGACTTATAGCACTCCATTTAATCAACTGCCTTAAAAAGGGATACGAAGGACATGGTTTGGGTTGAGAGGTAAGACGCAAACAAAATACCAAACAAAAACATTCTCTAATAGTTAACTATTTCCCAGGACTCAATACTATGACAACAGTTTCCACAAGGGAAAACACAAGAATTCAGTGCTCACTTACTTCTTCAGGGAGAACAAAATGCTTAAAACACTGTCTACCCCACTATGCCTGGCTCAGATCTGAAAGGAACAAGATGGTCCTTACCTGCCATGGTGGTTATAGGGTGCCGAGGCCTTCATGTAAGTATCTGGTGGAGGCCCCACTGTGGCATTTGGTGGGGGGAAGAAGGCTGGATTGAGGTGAAGGGCAGGTGGGATGGCCCCAGGGGGAGGTACAGTCAGATGAGGAGGTAATCGAGGAGGAGGGGGCATGAGATGCTGGTAGTGGATGCCAGGAGGAGGAGGAGGGACCCCAAAGCTTGAGGAGAGAGGTGGTGGGGGTGGAATGGGGGGTGGGGGCAGACCCATCAGGGGAAGGGCCGAAGGAGGGCGATTGAAGTAGGGCAGCACACTGGGGGGCTTATCCACACGGGCAGACGAGGGCACAAGGTTCTCAGAGGGTGTGGCCCGTCCATCAGCAGAATCACTAGAATCTCGGGAGTGGGCCCGCGGAGGTATTCCTATGAAGCAAAACAGAATTACTGTTACTGTCCAACCTTTGAACACAACCACGGGACCAGGTCATCCTTCAGCAAGTCATCTGACACCATACTAAGGAAGGTGACAGGTAGCTGAGAAGGAAGGTAAAATCACCTACTGTTTTTCTTTGGCCTCAGAGAGAAAGCTCGGAGGCCACCTAGTTAAGCCGCAAACCCAGGAAGCGAAGCACCCTGGATCTGTGTGTTGAAGATGCTCTTCATCTAGAACTCCCAGTGCTTCACATTTAAGTTACCCTTAGGTTTGTTTTCTGTTGTTAAATGTGCGGAAGGATCCTAATAACCCACGAGAAAACGGCAGTGCTGAAGTACGTTCATTACTGCTCAGCTGGATTCAAGCTGATTCGAAACCCCATTTTCTCTGGTAGGAGCTCAGGGACTCTTTCC